CGGCGGTGGTCGACGGCGAGAGTGTTGGGTCTGTGGTGACCCCGACCACCTCCCGTTCTCCAAGGTACAGCCCACCCCTCTTGCTGTGGATCATGGGCTCACGGCTCCACCTTCGGACGAGCCATTTGATTCCAGTGGTCCATATCCTGAGCTGGTGGGTTGTCTCATGTACCTGATGACCTGTACTCGCCCAGACCTAGCTTACCCTCTTAGCGTCCTTGCGCGATTTGTTGTGCCTGGGAGACACCGACCTTCCCACTGGTACGCTGCTAAGAGGGTGGCGAAGTATGTGGCGAGTACATCAGGCATCGGACTTGTCCTTGGAGGGAAGCAGCCAATTACACTTACAGGTTTCTCAGACTCGTCATGGGCCGACGACGCAGAGTCGCTGCGGTCTACACAGGTTTACTGCTTCAGCCTTGGGACCGGAGCTGTTTCGTGGAGGTCGACTCGGGCGTCGTCCGTCTCTAGTTCCAGCTGTGAGGTAGAGGTGTACGCTGCGGCCATGGCCGCCCAGAAGCTTCGCTAGCTGTCTTTCCTCCTCACCTACCTTGGTGAGCGGCCTCGCTCTCCCCCAGTATTGTTTGCCGACAACAGGTCTGCTATCCTGTTGTGCGAGGAGCCCCGACTGGTGGGGAAGTCGAAGCACATCCAGCTTCGTTGCTTCCTTCTGCAAGAGTTGCAGCAGCGTGGCCATGCACTCGTGCGACGTGTGGTCTCTGAGGCCAACATGGCTGATATCTTCACCAAGGCGTTGCCGCCTTGTAACCACCAGCGTTTCTGCACCCAGCTAGGCCTTGTGTCTACCGGCCCTCACTTGCTTGCGTAGAGATGCTTTGTCTTGTACTCTTGCATCTCACTATATCTCATATATATCTGCTTGTGTATTGGCCTTGTGGCCCCTTGCTTTCATAGAGATGCTTGTCATGCATGTCTTGTATTCTTGCATCTTCTATATTTGCTATGTCCTTGCATGTGGCCACTTGCTTGTTCTCGGACTGTGTGGTGATCTTGAGATCCACCCCGAGCCTTGTTTTGTTCTTGTGAACTGGTCTTGTGACCGTTGCTTGCTCTTGCTGACTGGTCCTGTGACCCTTGCTCGTAGACTGTGTGTTGTTTTCCACAGGACTACCGTCACCTAGACTATGGGGGTGTGTCAAACTATAATTGTTGTAGTTTGTTAGTTTAGTCTAGGTGTTTTGCATTGCGTTGCATTTGTCCTAGCATTAGGGTTAGGGTTTGCTATATCAACCCTTGTATGCCCTTGATTTCATCATTCATTCACCTGTTGTTACTTTGACAGTCGCCACCGGCATGGACATCAAGTCACTAGGCCACTAGTTCAGCTGGTGGGCGGCGTAGCGGACTGCATGAGGCCATAGGAACTGGGGGGCACTGGCATGGCACATGGAGGTCCGGGCAACCTCCATGACCAGGCTGATGCGTCGCTCAGCTACCCCGTTTTGCTGCGGCGAGTCTGGTAACGTGTATGACTGGATGATCCCCCGAAAGAACGTCTCCAGGTGAGTGGAAGAAAACTCACCACTACGGTCCGAGCGCAGACAGAGCCCACAAAGGCCCTGGGCGCCACCCCTCGCTAGTAGCCACGGCTCGAGGACGGTAGGCACGTCGGCCTTTCATCGCAAGGGTAAAACCGTGGTAAAACCGTAACGGGAGTACTCGTCCACCACAATTAGGAAGTAGTGCTCCTAACGTGGGCCAAGGACTGGGGAGGGGCCCCAGACGTCCAAGTGCAGGGTCTGGAAGGGAGCCATGGTGGGGGGAACGAGGAGGAGTGAGGGGCAGCGCGCTCCCAACCCTCGACACAGGGGGTGCACGGCGGTGCAGGCGAGCGGGGAAGCTGGGCAAGTGACTCTGCGAGACCTGAGATCAGACGGTGACGTACCATCCTACTGAGACGCGGGAAGGACGGGTGACCTAGACGGCGGTGCCAGAGGACCGACGGGTGGGTGAGTGACCGACAGTCGCACGACACAGGGGCTACTTGACCTGACCTGACCCAATGTGGCGGGACCCATTGTGTAGTGAGTAAATACCAGAGCACGGCTCCCTGGGAAAGGTAGCCAGAGGGGCCCCAGTGACACCGTCTGTGCAGGAGGCAACAGGCTCGTCTAAAGGAAAAGTGGTGACTACTCCGAGGTCGTGGAGGTTGTCAACGGGAGTTGTGGTTGGCCCCGTCCTCGCTTGGGTGGAGCCGACCTCGTTGTCGGGTGCACGGGGAGTGCATCCGATCAGCTGCAGTGGGCGACGCCGACTTGGGCGCGTGGGTCGAAGGTGTGGTCGACCTGCACGAGGCCACTACCACGCCGCCGACGCCTGGGAGCCGGCGGCCGACCTGACCCGGTGGTCAACGAGGTGGGGCGCCGACGTCGACCTAGACAAGGGAGCTGAAGGGCGCCGTGCTGTGGAGGGCACCGGGTAGTAGGGCGCCGAGCAGCATGGTGCTGAGCAGCAGGACGCCGACCTGGGTGTCTGAACGGCGTCCTGGGCGTCTGGACGTCGACCTTGTCGCCTGGACACCGACCGAGGCGTCAGGACGCCGATTCTGGGGACGCCGGTCTAGTGTAGCCGGCGACTGACTGAGCTGGACGACCAGGCATGGTTGCCCGGTCGATCGTGTTACCCGGGCGACGTGTGCGATGATCGCCGGGGTGGTTTCTGCGAGACCGACCTTGGAAGTGGTATCCCGAGGTCGACGTGGCTGGTGGGCGCAGACGCTGGCGTGCTCTCGGCCCGCCGTCTGCGCTGTGCACGTGACAAGGCGTGATGCACCAACCAGCCGCGCGCACCTGCGAAGCGGGTGCACCGCTGTCATGCGGGTGCGACGCTGTGCAGCCGACTTGCTGCAGCGTTGGCACACCGTGGACTTGCAACGTTGGCAAGCCGCTTCTCTGCAGCACTGGAGCGGTGCGAGCTTTGAAACGCTGGATCGCGGTCGACCGTGCTGCGCTGGAGGTCGACCAGCATGCTTGCTAGCTCTGATGTAGTCATTCATTGTTGCCAATGTTGTCCTAACCTTTTGTTGTGAACGTTTGCTAGTGAAACTCTTGCCAATTTTCCCCGTGAACTAGCAAGTAGTGAGCGCACAAGGAAAAGACTAAGGAACGAACGCAGAGATCACCCCTAACACCTCGTGCCTTCCCCGTAGAAATTCCCGTTGTTTTTGTTATCTCCGCATGGTGTGGTGAGTGTGGACGGCACCGCGACTTACCTTCAGTCTAGTCGACTTAGTTGCACGTACCAATCGTGTTTGTAGGGCGGCAGCTGTGCGTTAGTCACCATGGTGGGCGCAGGTGACGCAGGTGTAGCAGACACCCTGGAGGCACGGCTGGAGGATGCGAGGAGACGTCACTTGGCTGGCGAGTACGGGGAGATGCTCCCCTTGGCGGTTGTCAAGGCTGGCATCCGCGCCGTGTGGGCTGCGGAGCACCCTCCTCTGCCTGCCTCGACCGTTGGACACTGAAGGCGGCATCGACGTGGGCGTCAACGCCGGTGACCAAGTCGGCAGCAGTGCGGGAGGCACGTCGAGGCAGAGAGGAGTGATTCACGCCGATGAAGTTGACAGCGTTCAGGCACGAGGGCTGCAGTCGTCGGCGGTTGCAAGGTCCTCGCAGGGCGACATCGGAGGACGTCGAAGCAGCGTGACGCCAGCGTCGGCAACCCACATCACGGCAGGTGGGATCGCGCCGACCTACGGCTACTTCAAGTTTACGCCGGACAGAATCGGTGTCAGTCCCCTGCTGGTTGGCCGCCCCGACATCCTCACGTGGAAGGAAGCCATCGAGCCCCATCTGGAGATGGCCGGCTTGACGTGCTTCGCCGAGGGCAACGTGGAGACACCGGCTGCAAGCGACGCCCCGCTGCGTGCGGAGTTCCGCGCCGTGCATCCGCTCACCTTCACGGTCATCTCGCGGTGCTGCTCGCCGGGTGTGCAGATCGCCTTGAAGTCGTGCAGGAGCTACTTGGACGCCGGCCACCAGGCGTGGCAGTTCATAACGTCGACGTACCAAGTCACCGACAACCTGTACATTGGCCAGCTGGAGGACCAGATGACGGACCTGCGGATGGGCGAGTAGGAGACAGCGACCGACTACTGCACCCGGGCTCGGCGACTTCTTGCCACCATGCGGATGGCCAGCGTGCAGTACTCCACGGCGTCTTGTCACAATGCGGGTGGCGTACGGGAGATGGGCGGGGTGCGAGCTGACTGGCGCGTCGGTTGGCGAGCTGGCTGGCGCGTCGGTTGGGCCGCCACCCCTTTCCCCCTACCTTCCCCCCCACCGCGACCGTCGCTGCAATCGCGCAGGGCCGGGACAGGTGGGGAAGCGGTGGCGGGGTGGGGAGCTCACGACCGGAACTGCAGGTGCTGGTTGCGCAGCTGTCGCGGCTGGCATTGGTCGGCAATGATGCAAGGCTGCGACAACCAGCGCGCTGGTCGTCGCGGCCTTTGCCAGCGAGGGTGCGACGAGGAGGCGACACGGGGCAGTGCGTGTGGGCGAACGCGCTGGCGAGCCGCTGACGATTTCGCTGACGATTTCGCTGGCATTCTCGCTGGCGCATGGGCGACGAGCTGAAGGCAATGAAGCGCTCTCGAGACGCACTACAGGTTGCGTAACGGAGCGCGCCATGGCGAGAGGCTAGCGGTGGGCCCATCTAAAGGTCCTAAATCGGACCAAGCTTTGATACCATGTCACAATACTAACGTAGCTAGGAACCGGGGTTTAGCTAGGGCCTAGGCTTAGTAGCCTAGGCCAAGGGAGTGTCGAGTAGTTTGTGCCAAGGAGAATCGAGAATGATTGGTTTCACCTATGGAAAGTGATACAAGATATAGTCGAGAATGAGGCATAAGAGGTGGAACACCACCAACAAGAGGAACAAACACTACAGTAACTAGAGAAAGCAGGATATATAATAAATATAACTTTAACACGTCTTACATCACGCATGTCCTGAAGGGGCTCCCGGGCAGCTACAACCTGATGAAGTGGCTGTCGGTGGTGCCGGGCACGAGGGAGTCGCTAAACGAGGACTCGCTGATCTCGTGCATTCTGAGGGACGAGGCGATGCAGGAGACCGAGAGGTCCACTGTGCTCCTGCCGCAGGCAAACTACATCGCCCCGACGAAGCAAGGAAGTCGATCGGGGCAGCGTGGCAAACATTGCGGCAGTGGTAGCGGAGGTGGGAGGCCGGCCAAGGACGCCGACAAGGGGAAGTCGGCCAAGGAAGGCTGCCGTGGAGAAGGAAGCCGACGCCGCGAATGCTGGCTGTGCGGCGACCCCGACCATCTCTCCTTTGAGTGCCCTGACCGCAGTGATTCCGACGACGACGACGACGCAAAGGGAGGCCACGGGAGGTCGGACAGCCGTCGTCCTTGCCGGGACAGCAAGCCGTGCAAGGAGAAGCAGTCGACCAAGTCGACCTCGGCAAAGGACGCCGACTCCTTCTCTCGCGGCAAGGGGCGAAGCGACAAGGAGGCGTCGTGCTCGCTGGTCGGCATCGTAGAGCCGACCGCCTCGCTGGCGCCGGAGGCCGGCGAGGACTTCCAGGCGGTGGGGGCGGCAGTGCAGGCGAACCCGGCGGTGGTCCTGCTCGACAGCGGCTGCTCGCACCACCTGATGGGGACGAAGGAGGCCTTCGTCGACTTGGAGCAGAGCGGCGACGTCAAGCACGTGCGCAGCTTCAATGGGGCGCTGCAGGACGTTCGCGGTCGAGGCACAGTCGCTCTGCAAGGGGAGGACGGGAAGTAGGTGCTCATCCCCGACGTGCTCTACGTCCCGGGCGTGCAGGCGAACCTGCTGTCAGCCGGTCAAGCTGCAGGATGAGGGCGACGGGATGCTGCTCATCTCGGCAGCGGGGGACGTGCTCGGTCGGGCGACGTATACCGGCCGGATCCTCTTCACCGACCTTCGTCCCTGCTTGGCGAGGACGACGACGACCACGACGGAGGTGGTGGCTCTGCGGGCGATAGTCTCGGCGACGAAGTCGACGCTGGCCAAGTGGCACGCCAGGCTAGCGCATGTCGGCATTGACACCATCACGAGCTCGGCAAAGCACGAGGTCGCCGCCGGCCTTGACATCAAGCCGTCGGCTGGCACCGACTCTCCGTGTGTCTCGTGCATCGGCGGGAAGCTAACGTGGCACACCTTTCCCGACAAGGGTTCAGACGGGAAGGACACCCTGGCCGTCGTGCACATCGACTTGTGCGGGCCGTTCCGGGTGGCTACCAAGGATGGCAGCTTGTACTTCCTGCTGCTGAAGGACCGCAAGACCCGCTACGTGTGGGTGAAGCCGGTCGCCAAGAAGTCGGACGTGTTGCGGGAGTTCGAGAAGTGGCTGGTGGTGGTTGAGCGGCAGGCGAAGAAGTCGGTGCTGATGCTGTGCTCTAACCAGGGAGGGGAGTTCCTCGGGAAGGAGTTCACCGCCTTCGAGGGGATCGTTGACGACTTGACCTACCCCTACACCCCGCAGCAGAATGGCATGGCGGAGGGGGAGATGAGGATGGTGGTGGAGTCGGTGCGGACAATGCTGCTGCACATGGGCGTGCAGCACCATTGGTGGAACCTCGCTCTGCAGCAGGCCGTCTGGGTCCGCAACTGCCTTGAGAGGTCGGCGCTGCCGCTGGGGACAACGCCGTACCAGCTGCTCACCGGGAAGAAACCCGACTTGTCGCTGGCACGCGTGTGGAGCTGCATGGCACATTTCTAGGTTCCCCAGCAGCAGCGTGGTGGGAAGCTGAAGCCGAAGGCCAGGTGGGGCCTTCATCTCGGCGTGTCGGAGGAGAGGAAAGGTTGGGAGCTCCTGGACATCGCCGACAACCGGGTGGTCACCACGTCGGACGTGGTGTTCTATGAAACCAAATCGCTGGAGGTGTGGAAGTCGGTGCATGGGCCGGCGTCGGGGCGGACGCAGGTCAACCCGCCGACGGACACCTCGACGGCGACGCTACCTCTGCTCGCCGAGGTCGGTGAGGTTGCTGATGAGGACGTCGAGGTCGTCCGCCAACGCCCCCCTTCCCCTGCCCCCACTGCCCCTCCTCCTGTGGCTGACTTGCGTGGGCTGACTCCAATGTCGGCCTCTGGCGATTAGGGGAGAAGTGGGGCGTTGCCTGTGGCGCCGGCCAAGAGCATCGCCGTTGGCCGACGTGACGTCCAGCAAGTCGGCATGGGAGTGAAGTCGACGCCGATAGGGGAGCAGCAAGCCGAGGAGGCGCAGCCGACTTTGGTGAAGCCGGCGAAGGAGGCATCGGCAGGGAAGCAGCCGACAGGGGAGCAGGCAGCAGTGAAGCCGATCAAGGAGCCGTCAGCGACCCGGGCAGTCGGCAGGGGAGCCGACGACAGGGGAAAAGTCGGCAGGGACGCCGACCGTGGTGCAGCAGGACGCCAAGGGCAGCGAAGCTGGTGACGATGGAGAGGAGCAGTCGGACGCCGAGGAGTCCACTGACAGTATTGTGGTGGAGGTCCAGCCTGGACCACGGCGTTCGGGCCAAGTCCGGAGGCCGCCGGACTTCCTGTCCTACCATGCGTGCCTGCCGCCGGCCGCCTACACCACGGCGTACGACGACCTCGACGACGACATGCTGCACGACGACGCCGAGGAGGACGCCGATCTACCAGAGCTCGACCCCAACATGCACGCCAACCCCGAGCACCGTTGGGACATCACAACGATGACGGTGAAGGAGGCGCTGGCGAGCTGGAAGGGCAAGGCGGTGAAGGCCGCCATGGACGAGGAGATCCGCAGCCTCATCGGCATGGGCACCTGGGAGCTGGTCGAACGCCCGCGCGGGGTGAACATCATGAAGAACCGGTGGGTGCTGATGACCAAGTACCACATCGACAACACAGTCGCCCGGGAGAAGGCGAGGCTGGTCGTGAAGGGCTTCACGCAGATTTACGGTGCCGACTACGATAAGACGTACGCGCCGGTGAGCAGCTATGTCACGCTAAGGATCTTCCTCAGCATCGTCGCCGTCCTCGACTTGCACCTGATGCAGCTCGACATGAAGAACGCCTTCCTCCAGAGCAACCAGGACCGGGTGCTGTACATGTACTAGCCGGACTACTACAACGACGGGACCGGCCGGGTGTGCAAGCTGTTGAAGAGCCTGTATGGGCTGAAGCAATCGCCGCTATTGTGGTACAAGGCGCTTGACGACGTGCTGATCGGCGCTGGCTGGAAGAAGAGCCAGGTCGACCAGGCACTCTACTTCAAGGTCGGCAGTGATGGGGTGGCCTACTGGGTGCTGGTCTACGTCGACGACCTGCTCGCCGCCAGCAGCAGCACCGCGATGCTGAAGGAGCTGAAGGAGCTGCTGGAGGCCGCCTTCAAGCTGCGCGAGATCTCGCCGGTGGAGAAGTAACTCGGGCAAGAGATCGTGCGCAACAGGTCGGCGAGGCAGCTGTGGCTGCACCAGCAGGTGTACGCCGACAAGCAGTGCAGGTGGTTCATCGAGGAGGTGCAGACCGGGCGCACCCCGAAGACGCCGGTGTCCGTCGACGCCTACGTCGAGCTGACGTTCGACGACGAGGAGGCCCAGGAGCGCCAGGAGGAGGAGTACCGGCAGAAGGTCGGCTCGCTGCAGATCGCGGCGACGACAACGAGGCCGGTCATCGCCTTTGCCTGCAGCACGCTGGGGAGCGGCCTCACGGAGAGGAGCGACCAGCACTGGCGCGAGGTCGACCGCTGCCTCGCCTACCTCGCCAACGCCCGCGACACCGCCCTGGAGTTCGGCGGTGGATCAGAGTCGCTGAAGCTGGTTGGCTACGTGGACGATAAGCAGAACCGTACAAGCACAGGCGGCTACGTGTTCGTCTACGGAGGGGCCACGCGTCTCCTGGTCGAGCCAGCGCATCAAGTGCGCGACGTTATCGTCGACCGAGTCAGAGTACGTGGCGGCCACGGAAGCCGGCAAGGAGGGACGCCGCCTTCGCTTCCTCCTTGCAGAGTTCCGGCAGCTGGACGCCGGGACGCCGACCGTCCTTCGTGTGGACAACAAGTCGGCTATCACGGTCGCCGAGGGCATGGGGTTGACGTGCAACCTCAAGCACATGGAGCAACGCTATGCATGGTTGCAGCACATGGTGAAGCGCGGGAAGTTTTTGCTGAAGTACATACCGACCACCGAGCAGCCGGCCGACTTCCTGACGAAGGCGCTGCACTATCCGGCCTTCAACCGGTGCTCCGTCGCAATCGGCCAAGTGCGCCTGGCCGACGTGAGCGATGGTGACGATGACGTGCAGCAGTAGGTGCCCTGCCCTCTTGCATGGCTGGTGCGGTGACCGGCGTGCTGTGTGTTGTGTGCATGCCGACGGGTTCTCTTAGTGGTGCTGCCGTGTGGGCTGGGGGCCTAAGCGTGAACGCGGCAAGGGAGTGTCAACGGGAGCTGTGGCTGGCCCCGTCCTTGCGTGGGTGGAGCCGACCTCGTTGTCGGCTGCAGTGGGCGACGCCGACTTGGGCGCGTGGGTCGGAGGTGTGGTCGACCTGCACGAGGCCACTGCCATGCCGCTGACGACTGGGAGCCGGCGGCCGACCTGACCCGGTGGTCAACGAGGTGGGGCGCCGACGTCGACCTGGACAAGGGAGCTGAAGGGTGCCATTCTGTGGAGGGCGCCGGGTAGCAGGGCGCCGAGCAGCAGGGTGCTAAGCAGCATGACGCTTACCTGGGTGTGTGGACGGCGTCCTGGGCGTCTGGACGTCAACCTTGGCGCCTGGACACCGACCGAGGCGTTAGGACGCCGACTTGGGCGTTAGGACGCCGATTCTGGGGACGCCGGTCTAGTGTAGCTGGAGGCCGACTGAGCTGGATGACTAGGCATGGTTGCGCGGTGGACTGTGTTACCCGGGCGACGTGTGCGATGGTCGTCGGGGTGGTTTCTGCGAGGCCGACCTCGGAAGTGGTATCCCGAGGTCGACGTGGCTGGTAGGTGCAGTCGCTGGCATGTTCTCGGCCCGGCGTCTGCGCTGTGCACCTTACAAGGCGTGATGCACCAACCAGCCGCGTGCACCTGCGAAACGGGTGCACCGCTGTCATGCGGAACGCTGTGCAGCCGACCTGCTGCAGCGTTGGCACACCGTGGACTTGCAACGTTGGCAAGCCGCTTCTCTGCAGCGCTGGAGCGGTGCGAGCTTTGCAACGCTGGATCGCGGTCGACCGTGCTGCGCTGGAGGTCTACCAGCATGATTGTTAGCTCTGATGTAGTCATTGTTGCCAATGTTGTCCTAAACTTTTGTTGTGAACGTTTGCTAGTGAAACTCTTGCCAATTTTCCCCGTGAACTAGCAAGTATTGAGCGCACAAGGAAAAGACTAAGGAACGAACGCAGAGATCACCCCTAACACCTCGTGCCTTCCCCGTAGAAGCTCCCGTTGTTTTAGTTATCTCCGTAGAGGTGGCTAACACCCACCAAGTTCCTGGAGAACGAGGGGGTGTAGTAACCTGTGAGAAAACCAGGGGGAGAGTGGTGGTGCTGTGGGCAACTACAGGTTTCACGGAGGGTTCAGCCAAGGCGACAGTGACTGGAGTGTGCAGTGGCGTGAGGTCGGTGTCGCGAAAGAAACAGATGGACGCTTCATAGTCTAGGGTGAAGGAAAGCTGTGCAGTCTTTGAGGTCGCACCCGAGCCAGCGACAAAAGCTGGAACTAGACTAGTGGTAACTGCAGCTCCCACACAAAGACCCTCAGAGGTGCCTGGACTGGAAACTACACACGTACCAAGACTGGAAACACAGATCTCTACTCGTGCAGCCGGGAAAGGTCCTATACCAGGTAGGTGAGACTCAACTGGTGCAGCAGTACGCTGGCGAAGACGCGAAGGCCAGTGCGGTGTAATAGCGTAAGGACCGAAACGCTCACGGTGGAGGTCGTCGAGGCGACGGTAGCGGCGGGACGCAGAATGATCAGGACTCTAGCAGGTAGTCCTAGCACCAGGGCCAGTCAGGACCCAGTACCCGCAGGGGTCGACGTCGCGCCCACTGCTAGCTGAGCCACTACTGGGGGCGCCACACAATGGACTCGCAGGTCCCCACTGCCGGGAGTGCTGCGGCTGGCCCTTCTGCTGTAGAAACCTAGTACACGCCATGAGAGGAGCTAGAAACGGGGGGGGGGGGGGGGGGGGGGGGGGGGGGGGGGGGGGGGGGGGGGGGGGGGGGGGGGGGGGGGGGGGGGGGGGGGGGGGGGGGGGGGGGGGGGGG